GAGAATGGATCCTTGTTTCCTCACCGTGTGAGTCTTACGTGTCATTATTGATATGACTTTCATTTATGTACCCTTTTGTGACTTTTGACTATGTCATAAGGTAAGGGGTTGATGTTCTGCTACTTTGATATGTTGCCTGCGGTCATGCATGATTTGGCCTTAAAGGACATCACTGGGAAAGCGGTCAATCCTAAACTAAATGGCATGAGTGCAAAGGGAAGATCATCTAGTATTACACCACTGTTGTATATTCACTGCCGGCAACTCACATCGCTCTGTATGAGAGGCGAATTGAGTGTGAATATATTGCAAGAATTGAGAGGGTCAAACATGCTCTTTTTTTTTAGGGATTAGAGATGTTTTTTGGACCGGTGTAATTAGATGGGTCTGGGGTATATGAGACACTATTTCTTTTCTTTTTGGGTTGATGTTTTTATGCTGGCTCATTTTGAGTTTCTAGTATAGAGCTCCCACATGCAGGTGTTCTCAGCAGTCGCACGGTGCAGTGGCTAGTATGAAATTGTTTATTTTTTGGGAGATTGAGATTGAGACGTGGCAGTGTCATGCCAACTCATGTCTGAGTGGGAGATGCTAGAAATTGGGCGCCCATATGGCATGATCCTTAGAACCTTTTGAACCTCATCCAAATGGGTTTTGAATTTGAATTCAAACCTATTTGGATAGCCACTCAGGATATATATCTATCATATCATGATATGGATAGATGATATAGATATCAGATATTATCTCATTTAACAAATGGATAAATGAGATAAATAGATTATATATCTGATATATGGGATATGGGTGATTAAGTGGAAAAACAACGTATGTTTGTTTTTTTTTCAAGATACTGACTCTCTCCCAAAATAACGATCAAAGCCATTTGCACTGTGGTTTATGTGGGTGATATTCAATATTGTAATATCACTTCACTGCTGGGTTGATTGACTAGATTCAGGAAGTACGTGATTTATCCACGAGGTTTTAGATCAAAAAAATGTATGATCTAAACATTTTATTCCGCTGCATGTTTTATACTTTGATTTACAGAACCAAAAAAGGAAGTTTGAGACGCCATGAGGGCTCACCTCTCTTATGAGTCAAGTATAATTGTTTGTGGCAAAAACATTTTCCTAGGGAAATTTTCTTTAGAGAATGGTTTTCTACTTTTTGTTGTGTATTTGAAACTAATGCTACTACAACGTATAAAAGTTTTAGGGATCAAACTTTTTTATTTTCAAAAATAAAATTTTGTTGCAAAAATGGTAGGAGACCAATTCTTGTTATTATGAAAATCATCACTAAAAGGTTGTTTTGGAAAGTAAAAGAAAAAAAAGATTAGTGACAAATTTTAAATTATTGTTCAATTTTGTCGCTAAAAATACGACACTTTTTATAGCTAAAATATTTCAGCCTTAAAAAGTGATTTCATTCATAAATAATTGTATCTAAAACTTTAATTTGTTGTAATGTATACCAATGGTTGTATTAATGACAGCGGGAAGGAGGTGGTGGTGGCGTGACGGTAGAGGGAGTAATACTTTATTTTGGAAAACTCAAATAAATTTATTTTCATTGACTCTCATTTTTATTTATTTATTTATTTTTTCTTTTTGTATGAAATGCTAGAAAATGTAAAAAAATGTTTTGAAAAATATTCTTTGAAAAACAAACAGAAGGTAAAATCAAATTGCTATCCCGTGAAAGGAAGAACAAAATGTAGATCCACTAGTACATTATTGGTTAGATGAATGAAACAAATAAAGAATTTCCAGTATGAATTTGTGTCTGTACTGTATACATCTGAGAGAGTCACAGAGTGGAGCCACCAGAGGAAAACAGTGGTGTGGGTACTCACCCTCAAGTTCGTCCTTTTGCAGGAACCATTAGGCAAAGCATGTGGTACACTGGTGGCAAACTCAATTGGATTTAGAATTTGAGTTTTAGGTGGACAAAAACACATGTAATTTTTTATTGAAAAAAGTTAGTATAAAATTTTAATTTTTGATTTATATCAGCACAAAAATAATAATAATAATATATTACTATTAATAGTACATTCTAATAAAGTTAACTACTTGAAAATATTATAATA